ACCCTGTAGACATTTCGTTCATGTATATTAAAAATAGAACTGGTCCCAGCACCGATCCTTGAGGTACTCCACTCGTTACTGTTCGCCAGTCCCACTTCTCGCCCCCTTACTGTTACTCTCTGGCTCCTTCCTGTTAGGTAGTTCCTTACCCCATGCTAGGGCCTTTCCGCTTACTCCCACTTGCCTCTCAAGTTTGAAAAGCAGTCTCATGTGCGGTACTGTATCGCACACCAGCTTTTGGCAGTTCAGAAATATACAGTCTACCCAGCCATCTCTGTCCTGCCTTATTGTTGTTAATTTATCATAGAATTCCAGAAGGTTGTTAGGCATGATTTCCCTTCTCTAAACCCATGTTGGTGTTTGTTTACATACCTAATTTTCTGTGTGTAACCAGTCTTAACCTGATTATTTTTTTCAAATACTTTACAGGGGATGCTCGTCAGTGATACTGGTTTGTAGTTAAGTGCCTCTTCCCTATCGCTTTTCTTGAAAATCGGTACAACATTTGCCTCCTTCCAGCAACTGGGCAATTCTCCCTTTGTAAGTGACTCATTAAAGATCCTTGCCAGAGGTACGCCGAGGGCCTGTGCTGCCTCTTTTAGTATCCACGGTGATACATTGTCCGGTCCAACTGCTTTAGTTTCATCCCGTGTTGTTAGTTGTTTTATAACACCTCTGCTGTCACCTCTATATCTGATAGTCTTTCATCTAAGGTAATCTCTTCTAACAATGGGAGCCGCTCAGGCTCGGTTGAGAACACTCCATGGAAACTGGCAGTCAGTGCCTCGCAGATTTCCTTTTCGCTTTCCATATATGTCCCTTCTGTTTTCCATTGTGTTGTCACTTGGTCGTTAGCCAACATTTTCCTTCCTATATGACTATGTAGTAATTTAGGTGGCTTTTTCGCTTTGATAGCATATCGTTCTCATACTAGTCTTATGTTAATGTAATCGTTTCTAGTTCTGTTGCATCTATTCCTGTTGTCCTCTTTACTTCCTCTACTCCCTCCTACTTCAAATTTTTGCTTCCTGACCTTTTCTCTTAAACAATAGGTTATTATATTACCACCTACTTTTTCCCCCCTTACTGTTGCTATAAAACTCTCTTCGGCCTCCTTGTATTTCCACTTGACTTGCTCCATCATATCTTGTACTTTTTTCCTCTTAGTTCAAGTGTGTGGATGTGTACATATGCATATCTGCAAAGTTGGACCATGTATTGCATGAGTTTCCAAAAATGCCTCTGAAATTAATCAACCCACTATAACATAATGTTGTGTCAATAGGAGAGTAACACTGAGCACAGCTGCTTGATACCTGGTTGATGGAGTTCTGGGAGTTCTTCTACTCCCCAAGCCCGGCCCGAAGTTAACTTGTGAGAGTTTGGTCCACTAGACTGTTGCCTGGAGCGGCCCGCAGGCCCACATACCCCCCACAGCCCGGTTGGTCCGGCACTCCTTGGAGGAAACAATCTAGTTTCCTCTTGAAGATGTCCACGGTTGTTCCGGCAATATTTCTTATGCTCGCTGGGAGGACGTTGAACAACCGCGGACCTCTGATGTTTATACAGTGTTCTCTGATTGTGCCCATGGCACCTCTGCTCTTCACTGGTTCTATTCTGCATTGTCTTCCATAGCGTTCACTCCAGTACGTTGTTATTTTACTGTGTAGATTTGGTACCTGGCCCTCCAGTATTACCTGTAACATTTTCCTTACAAAGTGTGCTATCGTGAAGGTGTTGAGTCACTAAACGTGAACATGGCTCCCACGACAACTTCCTCCATTTGCTGCACCTTGTACATTTTGGATTTTATTATTATTATTATTTTAGGATAAAAACCCTCATACTTATGTATTTGAGAGATTGATGTAAGGAATTAACACGAAGTCTTTCGCACTCTCCTGAGTGCTTTGTCAAGGTCTGAGTGTATGACTAGGACCAGACTTACATTTCAACGTCTAATGAGGCTGTTATCCTGGGTCCTGTCCTCTTGGCCTTCTTGATAATTATAGAGGTGACTATACATATGTATATTTACATATATATGTACGTATCTAGGTATATACGTAATCTATAGTACGGGGAAATAGAGGTGACTTGGTCAGGTCACGAAGAACAAGAGGACTGGTGTCAATTCCTTACATAAATCTCACAGATACACAAGTGAGTTTTTGTCCCATGTTATTTTGTCTGTGAGAAGAGATTACCATTATTATTATTATTATTATTATTATTATTATTATTATTATTTTTATTGAGAAACTCGATAGTAGCCATGAGAAGGATTCGAACCTGCACACTGGGTACTCCCAAGCATACGTCCTAAACCATTCATGTCGTGGCTGTGTGTGTGCAGGTTCGAGTCCTCGTCACGGCTCCTGTGGATTTTCTTGTTGATACATCACGTTAATGTGACTTATGCGTGTAAAGAGAGGCGTTGGGGGCAGACCTGTACTACCAGAGGTAGAGTGCCTGCTGGCTGTGCCTGCTGGCTGTGCCTGCTGGCTGTGCCTGCTGGCTGTGCCTGCTGGCTGTGCCTGCTGGCTGTGCCTGCTGGCTGTGCCTGTTGGCTGTGCCTGCTGGCTGTGCCTGCTGGCTGTGCCTGCTGGCTGTGCCTGCTGGCTGTGCCTGCTGGCTGTGCCTGTTGGCTGTGCCTGCTGGCTGTGTCTGCTGGCTGTGCCTGCTGGCTGTGCCTGTTGGCTGTGCCTGCTGGCTGTGCCTGCTGGCTGTGCCTGCTGGCTGTGTCTGTTGGCTGTGCCTGTTGGCTGTGCCTGTTGGCTGTGCCTGTTGGCTGTGCCTGTTGGCTGTGCCTGTTGGCTGTGCCTGTTGGCTGTGCCTGCTGGCTGTGCCTGCTGGCTGTGCCTGCTGGCTGTGCCTGCTGGCTGTGCCTGTTGGCTGTGCCTGTTGGCTGTGCCTGCTGGCTGTGCCTGCTGGTGTAATGGTCTGTTGTACAAGACCTAGCATCTTTCCTTCCCCCTTCCCACTTTTTCCCCTCTGCTCATCCCTCCCCTCCCCTTATTTCCTTCCCCATTCCCCTCCTTTTTGTCGCACTCTCAGGCCAAACGTCCCTTTCTTCCCCAGTCTTCCTTCCCCAAGCCTCCGCCTTCAGCCTTGTTTCCCCAACCATTCTTCACCTTATTCCCTCTCTCCCTCTCTCCTCTATAGCCATTGACAAATTATGGGCAATGAACTCAGCCCATATGAGCTGGAATGAGCTGGAAATCTACTGGAGGGAAACATACCCCTTCAGGGCAGGCCTATAGCCTATCCTGGAGCTCGATCGGTGGAAACCAGGGAGGCCTAGTGGGCGGGTTTAGGACCTGGCACTGATTGGCTGGACCAAGGCCCTAGAACCGAACTTTTGAAATCATTGACTCTAGACTTGGAGAGGCGAGGTTTATTGGGCGTAGGAAACTAGTTGTGGGTGGAGCTATCGTCCACTGGTAAGCTTGTGAGTTAGTGTCTTGAGAGGTGACTTGGACAGGTCTAGGGGACTTGGGGGAAGCTGTCAACATCTGTGGCTGGTAATTGAAGGATAAGGTAATGTGTGTGGCTGAGTTGTGGTACATCTGTAATTGCACCCTTTTATTTGTCTCATAGGATGTATTAACAGTTAGGATGTCATTTCGTGTCATTGTTTGAATAAAGTTTTATTATTGATCATTTAGAATTTAGCTCAATTCCCCTATCTTTAGTCTGAGCCATTAGATTTCTCATTTTCATACTGTATTTAGCAGGTCTCTATGTTTTCCTTCACTTAAGGATAATAAAAAGATGTTCCCTGATCCCTCGGTATGTAAAGAATTTCTATAAATCATTCCCAAGCATCAATTGCCAAGATTCCTACGCCCTTCAAGTTCATAATTATTGGTCTTTGTCCGCCCTGGGAGATCAATAAAACCAGGCACATTCAGTCACCAGAAAGGGTGGTGGCAGCCCTAAGTATTATTCATGTATTAAATCATAACCCTTTATTTGTAGCTTTCCCCCCCATTTAGTGTTTCAGTTTAACAGCTGGCAGTTGAGTGAGGGTCACAGTGTGCTTGGCAGCAGTGTTAAGCTGGTTGGTGGTTGTGTTATAGATTCAGCTACTCGGAACAAGTTCCAAGTAGCACGGGCTATGGTGAGCCCGTGGTGGACTTACCTGGCACAGGAGCGGGGCTGTGTATGTGTTAAGCTGGTGTTTTAAGTGAAAAAGCGGAGTATCAGTCAGGTATTACACTGGCTGTGCTGGCTACTCTGACTGGCCTTCAGTGGAAGCCTTAGGACCAAGGGAGGATTCAGTTGAATTCCCACTTGGGCTGGACGGTAGAGCGACGGTCTCGCGTCATGCAGGTCGGCGTTCACTCCCCGACCGTCCACAAGTGGTTGGGCACCATTCCTTTCCCCCCGTCCCATACCAAATCCTTATCCTGACCCACTTCCAAGTGCTATATAGTCATCATAGCTTAGTGCTTTCCCCTGATAATTCCTTCCTTCAGGTTTCATTGCTTTGGAATCGTGGCCAAGTGGTTTAGGGAGTATACTTGGGAGTATCAGTGCAGGTTCGAATCCACTTCATGCCACCTATTGATTTTTCTCAATGATACATAATGCTAATTTGATTTCTTAGTGCATTATTATTAATTATCATTATTATTATTATTATTAATAATCATTAAAACTAATCCGGTACCATATTTAGAGCAGTTCCTTGTTAGCACTAAGACGCCCATTACAATGTGTGTAATTATGAACTCCATCACTGAATTTATATTCTCCTCCTCTTTGTAATTTTGGTAAACTCTTTTCCGTGGTTGCCATGGACGCCGTCGTTGCCATGGACGCCGTGGTTGCCATGGACGCTGTGGTTGCCATGGACGCCGTCGTTGCTATGGACGCCGCTCACGACGTTGTTGCCATGGACGCCGTCGTTGCTATGGACGCCGCTCACGACGTTGTTGCCATGGACGCCGTGGTTGCCATGGACGCCGTGGTTGCCATGGACGCCGTGGGTACAGTGCCCAGAGCGGAGGTGGTTCACGGGCCGGGCATCTTCGTCCACCGGGGCTCAACCATCAACCTCACCTGTGTGGTAACTCACGGTACCCAGCGACCCGTCTACGTCTACTGGTACCACTACGACAAGGTACGTCTACTGGTACCTTTGTGGTACATACCACCAGCATACGAGGGAGACAGAGGGCAGAAGAAAGGAGAGAGAGAGAGAGAGAGAGAGAGAGAGAGAGAGAGAGAGAGAGAGAGAGAGAGAGAGAGAGAGAGAGAGAGAGAGAGAGAGAGAGAGAGAGAGAGAGAGACATGTGGCCAAGCAACTCCCGCTTAAATATGCATATCATTAACTGGTTTTCACTCAGGATGCAAATATGACGAGAGGTTTAAGTGAGGCTGTGAGTGAGAGGGAGGAGGTAATAGACAGCTGCCAGGACTGTGGCGAGGGACTCGAACCCCCACACCAAACACGTGTCGTGGCTGCCTGGAACGACAGACACTGGGGGTTTGGGTACCTGGAACGACAGACACTGGGAGTTTGGGTACCTGGAACGACAGACACTGGGGGTTTGGGTGCCTGGAACGACAGACACTGGGGGTTTGGGTACCTGGAACGACAGACACTGGGGGTTTGGGTGTCTGGAACGACAGACACTGGGGGTTTGGGTCTCTGGAACGACAGACACTGGGGGTTTGGGTGCCTGGAACAACAGACACTGGGGGTTTGGGTGCCTCTAACGACAGACACTGGGAGTTTGGGTGCCTGGAACGACAGACACTGGGGGTTTGGGTGCCTGGAACGACAGACACTGAGGGTTAGGGTCTCTGGAACGACAGACACTGGGGGTTTGGGTGCCTGGAACGACAGACACTGAGGGTTAGGGTCTCTGGAACGACAGACACTGGGAGTTTGGGTGCCTGGAACGACAGACACTGGGGGTTTGGGTGCTTGGAACGACAGACACTGGGGGTTTGGGTGCCTGGAACGACAGACACTGGGGGTTTGGGTCCCTGGAACGACAGACACTGGGGGTTTGGGTGTCTGGAACGACAGACACTGGGGGTTTGGGTCTCTGGAACGACAGACACTGGGGGTTTGGGTGCCTGGAACGACAGACACTGGGGGTTTGGGTGCCTCTAACGACAGACACTGGGAGTTTGGGTGCCTGGAACGACAGACACTGGGGGTTTGGGTGCCTGGAACGACAGACACTGAGGGTTAGGGTCTCTGGAACGACAGACACTGGGGGTTTGGGTGCCTGGAACGACAGACACTGAGGGTTAGGGTCTCTGGAACGACAGACACTGGGAGTTTGGGTGCTTGGAACGACAGACACTGGGGGTTTGGGTGCCTGGAACGACAGACACTGGGAGTTTGGGTGCCTGGAACGACAGACACTGGGGGTTTGGGTGCCTGGAACGACAGACACTGAGGGTTTGGGTGCCTGGAACGACAGACACTGGGGGTTTGGGTCTCTGGAACGACAGACACTGGGAGTTTGGGTGCCTGGAACGACAGACACTGGGGGTTTGGGTGCCTGGAACGACAGACACTGGGGGTTTGGGTGCCTGGAACGACAGACACTGGGGGTTTGGGTGCCTGGAACGACAGACACTGGGGGTTTGGGTGCCTCTAACGACAGACACTGGGAGTTTGGGTGCCTGGAACGACAGACACTGGGAGTTTGGGTGCCTGGAACGACAGACACTGGGGGTTTGGGTGCCTGGAACGACAGACACTGAGGGTTTGGGTGCCTGGAACGACAGACACTGGGGGTTTGGGTCTCTGGAACGACAGACACTGGGAGTTTGGGTGCCTGGAACGACAGACACTGGGGGTTTGGGTGCCTGGAACGACAGACACTGGGGGCTTGGGTCTCTGGAACGACAGACACTGGGAGTTTGGGTGCCTGGAACGACAGACACTGGGGGTTTGGGTGCCTGGAACGACAGACACTGGGGGTTTGGGTGCCTGGAACGACAGACACTGGGGGTTTGGGTGCCTCTAACGACAGACACTGGGAGTTTGGGTGCCTGGAACGACAGACACTGGGGGTTTGGGTGCCTCTAACGACAGACACTGGGAGTTTGGGTGCCTGGAACGACAGACACTGGGAGTTTGGGTGCCTGGAACGACAGACACTGGGGGTTTGGGTGCCTGGAACGACAGACACTGGGAGTTTGGGTGCCTGGAACGACAGACACTGGGGGTTTGGGTGCCTCTAACGACAGACACTGGGAGTTTGGGTGCCTGGAACGACAGACACTGGGAGTTTGGGTGCCTGGAACGACAGACACTGGGGGTTTGGGTGCCTGGAACGACAGACACTGGGAGTTTGGGTGCCTGGAACGACAGACACTGGGAGTTTGGGTGCCTGGAACGACAGACACTGGGGGTTTGGGTGCCTGGAACGACAGACACTGGGAGTTTGGGTGCCTGGAACGACAGACACTGGGGGTTTGGGTGCCTGGAACGACAGACACTGGAAGTTTGGGTGCCTGGAACGACAGACACTGGGGGTTTGGGTGCCTGGAACGACAGACACTGGGGGTTTGGGTGCTTGTAACGACAGACACTGGGGGTTGGGGTACCTGGAACGACAGACACTGGGAGTTTGGGTGCCTGGAACGACAGACACTGGGGGTTTGGGTGCCTGGAACGACAGACACTGGGGGTTTGGGTACCTGGAACGACAGACACTGGGGGTTTGGGTACCTGGAACGACAGACACTGGGGGTTTGGGTGCCTGGAACGACAGACACTGGAGATTTGGGTGCCTGGAATATCGGCAACCCAAAATGTTGGTAAAATGGTGGCAATTGATGATACAGAAACAGGAACGGAGGAAGAAGGTTGACATGGGGAAACAGGAACGGAGGAAGAAGGTTGACATGTTGAAACAGGAACGGAGGAAGAAGGATGGCGGGGAAAAAGAGGAGCAGAGGACGAGGATTGGCGTGAAAGAGGACACGGGGCTCCGTGCAACACTGCCCACTGACGGAACAATGGGGAACTGATTACTAATACAGCAGGAAAATGAGAGGGGCTTTGTATAACATAAATAATGAGAGGAGACGGGGGCGGGGTGCGACACAGGCTATGGAGTATATCATCTGGACATCCAGAGCACCACACTACTCCACACTCCAGGTTTAAACTGTCGGGAATATAATTACATATTTATACAGTCCACCGATGTAACAGTTTATGAACATGTAAATCTTATTCCACATTGTTTGGTTGGCAGATGTTTAACAGGAGTACTAGGTGGACAGGTGTCTGGTAGCTGGAGTGTGAGTGTGTGTGTGTGTGTGTGTGTGTGTGTGTGTGTGTGTGTGTGTGTGTGTGTGTGTGTGTGTGTGTGTGTGTGTGTGTGGAGCAGCTGTGGAGATTACTCATTATTTTAAAAGTAAAAATATAATTCTAGTTTCCGATTGTAATTAAAATTTTGCGAGAAATGTACCTTTTCGTGGCATTATTCTGGTGTTGGTGAGCATCAGGAGCCTGCAGGTGTGTACAGGTGTACACAGGTGTGTGTACAGATTTCGAGAGGGTAGGACTCAGAGCACTTGTGGCTACAGGCAGGAAGGAATACCCGGATACAGCTGTATATATATTTTTATATACATTCATTTCAAATATTGTATTAATTGGGTAATATTGACCAATTTCTTACCTGACTGCATTGAACTATTTAAATTATCTTTCAATTAACTCTCACTTGATGTAATTTCTTGCTATACACAGGATGTGAACGTGTTTTGCTGACGTTTCTTGAAGAACATCGTGATATGTTATGAATTGATGTTTAGTGTGATCATACGCCAGCAAGGAAGTGGTGTATGTTGAGGAATGTTTGTGTATATTGGTGTATGTCCTGCTCAGCCATGCACAAGTTGTGGGGGCAGGCATACACACGCCGCCCCCACTAGTTTAAGGTACCACTGTGATGGAAATTGTATCATGTGAAGCATTTAATGTATTCCACTCGACACGGGTGTGGCTGACAGGTGTAGAGGTCAGGTGTGGCTGACAGGTGTAGAGGTCAGGTGTGGCTGTCAGGTGTAGAGGTCAGGTTTGGCTGACAGGTGTAGTGGTCAGGTGCAGTGATAAATAGTCAAGTGTAGTGATGAATAGTTAGGTATAGTGATGAATAGTTTGGTGATGAATGCCAGGTGTAGTGAGATGTGACATGTGTGGTGAGGTTTAGCACGTTTGTAAGGTATAACAAGTGTAATAATATATAGCAGGTATAGTATGTATGGCAGGTGTGAGGTATGAGAGGCATAGTAAGGTAAGGCAGGTGTAGAACGGTATGGCAGCGGTATGGCAGAAAGCAATGGCAGGTGTACCAGAGTATGGCAGATGTACCAGGGTATGGCAGGTGTTGTATTAAGCATTTCTCTTGTGACTCAGACTCCGTTGTTCTGTTGACAGATGGGCCTAAGTTACACCGTTGTTTTCCCTGACTAAGACCTATTTCTGCCATATACCTCCCCCCCCCCACACACACTATGCCTTTTCATATGCTCTTCGTCAGCAGCTTTCTCTACGTCATAGTTCCTTTGTCACTATGGTCGACTCCCGGAGCGTCCTCATGACTATGAAGTCATTTAATCCTTTGCATCCTGTGGTGGCCGAACTCCAGTACTGGGTGTTTCTTAATTTTGGTAAGTTTAAAGTCAGTCGAATTCTACTGAGTTCGCCAGCTATACTGGGAGTCCCTCGAGTGAACTGACGCCCCCGCTAAGGAGGCCCTGCATGCTTGCAACATTGCCAAGATGTTGTTCTCTATTCAGATTTTGACCCGAGATCGGTGGCAGGGTCGTTGGCCTGGCGATCAGGTAATACACGGCACGCTCATGAGTATGACCTTTCCCCATGGCCTTGCACATAACACCGTAATTGGTGGTAGGTGGGAAATGGCTCTGGCTAGGTTGTGTATCGGTCACACCTGAGGCCTGAGTCTTGGTCACGTAATGGAACAACGTTCTGCTCCCTTTCGTCTAGCCCAACCACTTGGGCCGGACGGTAGAGCGACGGTCTCCCTTCGTGCAAGGCGGCGTTCCCTGATGTCCCTGGGGGGGTCGGTTGTCCCTGGGGCTCGGTTGTCACTCGTTAGCACAAATGGTGAGTCCCGATACCTTTGATATCGTTCGTCTTATGTTCTCCTTAAGGCAGCTTGAGTAATATTTAGCACATGTTGAATACCTTCCAACTTAGACGGCGCTGCATAGTCTTCCAACCTTGGTGCTTTTTGTATAATAACTAAAGGTGTAGCAGGGTATGACAGGTGTAGTAAGGTATGACAGGTGTAGTAAAGTATGACAGGTGTAGCAGGGTATGACAGGTGTAGTAAAGTATGACAGGTGTAGTGTAAGGTATGACAGGTGTAGTAAAGTATGACAGGTGTAGTAAGGTATGACAGGTGTAATAAGGTGTGGTGATATTGCAGGTGCTGGACTACGAGGGTCGAGGAGGTGTGGTAGTGTTCACGGAGGCGAGCACCAACACCGTCAGCCACCTGCTGATGCGGGACGCGAGGCCCGAGGACTCCGGCGTGTACTCCTGCCGGCCGTCCAACGGGGAGGACGCCTACGCTACCCTCCACGTCCTCGACGGTCTGTGCTCCGCCCCCTTCACCTCACTACCATCCTATACAACAGTCTTAGACAAATGCAGCAGATATAGATATATATACTCTAATTATAATCTCGTGGATTGGCGTAACATTGGCGACTTGGAGCGGGTATATAGTAACTACCTCCGCTTATTCCCGTCCGAGTTGAGGTCCTCGGGGCTCTGACTGGACGCCTGTCCGCTTGGGTTGAGATTGGCCATGGTTGTATTTAATGGTTGTATTTAATGGTTGTATTTAATGGTTGTATTTAGGTTTACACCTGAATCCAGCGCATTTGGAACCCTTCCAAGAAAATGTTGGGTGGAGATAAGGACATTATAACAATTAAGGAAACTGAAGAAGGCCGCTTGGCGCATAACGAGGTAGCTCCTATTTACTGGGGTTTCTTTACTATTTTTTTCCCTTTACTCTTTGTTACCTTTACTCTTTGGTTCCTTTAATCTTTGTTTCTTTACTGTTTCCTTTACTCTTTGGTACCTTAACTGTGTTCTTTACTCTGTGTTTCCTTTATTATATGTTCCCTTACATTTTGCTCCCTTTATTCTTTTATTCACTTTACTAGCACTGTTTCCTTTACATTTTGTTTACTTTGCTCTTTTCTTAAACTAACTTTGTTTCCTGTAATAACTTTGTTTCCCATACCCAGGAAGTGTGGGTTGAGGGAGGCAGCAGGAGCAACACGTCTCACATTATACAAACAATTTCTTCGTGCGTAGTTGCCATTCTGGTACCTGCAGTGAACAGAATTTAATAATTCGTTGCCATAAACATGTGAGAGTATGCGGGTCAAGGTACCTTTAGAACCCGTGAAGTTGGTACATTCTGGTACCAACACCTGGTTTGAGTACGTAGATTGTAAGAATATAAATTATGTTTTGTTTCACAACTCTGAGTAACACGAACTATGATATTTGTCCGGTGTTGGCTGGAGCCGGGCCCAGGCAACGGGGGACTCTTTGATTATCATGTTTCTTGTTAAAGTGGTGTGAAAATGAGCGCTTGAGTAGATATTTTACCTTTGCTTTACTTTATACCTTTGCTCCGTATAGTTATAATAGTGATGCTCATGTGATGTATATGTAGCATGTGCTGTGTGTAATTGTGCGTGATTGTTGCTTCAGGTGAGCACCGAGCAGCCATGCAGAGTGAGGCCAGGACCCGAGGGGACGCACCATGGCTTGTCATCACTCTACACCTCTGCCTCACCTCTCTCATTCACCTCTACATGAGTAAAGTTGAGGCTGCTCCATAAGCAACTCAAACTGCAGGAAGGAACAGCAGGTATAGGAAGATTTGATATAATACCGGACATTTACAGTCTCCGTGGTGTAGTGGTAAGACACTCGCCTGGCGTTCCGCGAGCGCTATGTCATGGGTTCGTATCCTGGCCGGGGAGGATTTACTGGGCGCAATTCCTTATCTGTAGCCTCTGTTTAACGCAACAGTAAAATGTGTACTTGGATGAAAAAACGATTCTTCGCGGCGGGGATCGTATTCCAGGGACCTGCCGGAAACGCTACGCGTACTAGTGGCTGTACAAGAATGTAACAAGAATGTATTTATTGACGGGTCACGACTAGTGTGGCTAAAGTGTAGCCAGGAACTAACTAGGGGCAGTCGTGACAGTCTCCCTCGGGCCTCGCCATACCCAAGTTCATAAACTTAGTCACCTACAACCTGTCTGAATTTAGTGATGCCTGTCGTAGCTGTGCTTTTGTAGTACTTTCCTCGCCAGTTCTAAAGTAACTCCTGTTGATTGGCTTTACGAAAGACCACTGAGACATTCAGGGAAGCTGTATCATTCCCTTTTCGTGGCTGCTGAAACCCCATAGAAAGGAACTCTGAGATGTGTGTGTACAATACTACAGGTTCCTTTTGATTACAGGTATATATATATATGTTACTGTGGCCAAGCCAGGTGTTAAGTCCGCCTCATGAAGGTAATGACAGGCTTTTACAGGGACGTGGTGGTGTGTGAGTGTGTGTGTGGACCTGACACTCACAGGTCGTGGTGGTGTGTGTGTGTGTGTGTGTGGACCTGACACTCACAGGTCGTGGTGGTGTGTGTGTGTGTGTGGACCTGACACTCACAGGTCGTGGTGGTGTGCCTGTGGTCGTGGTGGTGTGTGTGTGTGTGTGGACCTGACACTCATAGGTCGTGGTGGTGTGTGTGTGTGTGGAGTGTGGCGTGTGACCTGACACTCATAGGTCGTGGTGGTGTGTGAGTGTGTGTGTGGATCTGACACTCACAGGTCGTGGTGGTGTGTGAGTGTGTGTGTGGACCTGACACTCACAGGTCGTGGTGGTGTGTGTGTGTGTGTGTGTGTGTGGTGGTGTGTGTGTGTGTGTGTGTGTGGACCTGACACTCACAGGTCGTGGTGGTGTGTGAGTGTGTGTGTGGACCTGACACTCACAGGTCGTGGTGGTGTGTGAGTGTGTGTGTGGACCTGACACTCACAGGTCGTGGTGGTGTGTGTGTGTGTGTGTGACACTCACAGATCTGACACTCACAGGTCGTGGTGGTGTGTGAGTGTGTGTGTGGACCTGACACTCACAGGTCGTGGTGGTGTGTGTGTGTGTGTGTGTGTGGACCTGACACTCACAGGTCGTGGTGGTGTGTGAGTGTGTGTGTGGACCTGACACTGGTCGTGGTGGTGTGTGAGTGTGTGTGTGGACCTGACACTCACAGGTCGTGGTGGCGTGTGAGTGTGTGTGTGGACCTGACACTCACAGGTCGTGGTGGTGTGTGAGTGTGTGTGTGGACCTGACACTCACAGGTCGTGGTGGCGTGTGAGTGTGTGTGTGGACCTGACACTCACAGGTCGTGGTGTGTGTGAGTGTGTGTGTGGACCTGACACTCACAGGTCGTGGTGGTGTGTGTGTGTGTGTGTGTGTGTGGACCTGACACTCACAGGTCGTGGTGGTGTGTGTGTGTGTGTGTGTGTGGACCTGACACTCACAGGTCGTGGTGGCGTGTGAGTGTGTGTGTGGACCTGACACTCACAGGTCGTGGTGGTGTATACTCACCTATTTGTGCTTGCAGGATCGAGCACTGACTCTTGGATCCCGCCTTTCCAGCTATCGGTTGTTTACAGCAATGACTCCTGTCCCATTTCCCTATCATACCTAGTTTTAAAAGTATGAATAGTATTTGCTTCCACAACCTGTTCCCCAAGTGCATTCCATTTTTCCACTACTCTCACGCTAAAAGAAAACTTCCTAACATCTCTGTGACTCATCTGAGTTTCCACCCATGTCCCCTCGTTCTGTTATTATTACGTGTGAACATTTCATCTATTTCCACTTTGTCAATTCCCCTGAGTATTTTATATGTCCCTATCATATCTCCTCTCTCCCTTCTTTTCTCTAGTGTCGTAAGGTTCAGTTCCTGCAGACGCTCTTCATATCCCATCCCTCGTAGCTCTGGGACAAGCCTCGTCGCAAACCTCTGAACCTTCTTCAGTTTCTTTGTGTTTCTTCAGGTGGGGGCTCCATGATGGCGCGGCATACTCTAAGACGGGTCTCACGTAGGCAGTGTAAAGCGCCCTAAAAGCCTCCTCATTTAGGTTTCTGAATGAAGTTCTAATTTTCGCCAGTGTAGAGTACGCTGCTGTCGTTATCCTATTTATATGTGCCTCAGGAGTTAGATTAGGTGTCACATCCACTCCTAGGTCTCTTTCTCGAATCGTTACAGGTAGGCTGTTCCCCTTCATTGTGTACTGTCCCTTTGGTCTCCTATCACCTGATCCCATTTCCATAACTATACATTTACTGGTGTTAAACTCCAGTAGCCATTTCCCTGACCATCTCTGCAACCTGTTTAAGTCCTCTTGGAGGATCCTACAATCCTCGTCTGTCACAACTCTTCTCATTAATTTTGCGTCATCCGCAAACATTGACATGTATGGTTCCACTCCTGTAAACATATCATTTACGTAAATTAGAAAGAGGATTGGTCCCAGCACTGATCCTTGAGGTACTCCACTCGTTACTGTTCGCCAGTCCGACTTCTCGCCCCTTACCATTACCCCTCTGGCTCCTTCCTGTTAGGTAGTTCTTCACCCATACTAGGGCCTTTCCGTTTACTCTTGCCTGCCTCTCAAGTTTGTATATCAGTCTCATGTGCGGTACTGTATCAAAGGCCTTTTGGCAGTCAAGAAATATGCAGTCTGCCCAGCCTTCTCTGTCCTGCCTTATCCTTGTTACTTTATCATAGAATTCTAAAAGGTTTGTTAGGCATAATTTCCCTGTCCAGAACCCATGTTGGTGCTTGTTTACAAACCCAATGCTCTCCAGGTGCTCAACAAGTCTTAGCCTAATTATTCTTTCAAGTATTTTACAGGGGATGCTTGTCAGTGATACGGGTCTGTAGTTAAGTGCCTCCTCCCTATCACCTTTCTTGAAAATCGGTACGACATTTGCCTCCTTCCAGCAACTGGGCAATTCTCCCGACATAAGTGACTCATTAAAGATCATTGCCAGAGGCATGCTGAGAGCCTGCGCTGCCTCTTTAAGTATCCACGGTGATACTTTGTCTGGTCCAACAGCTTTATTTGCATCCAGTGTTGTCAACTGTTTCATTACCTCCTCTGCTGTCACCTCTATATCTGATAGTCTTTCATCTAGGGTAATCGCTTCTAACAATCGGAGCTGCTCAGGCTCGGTTGTGAACACTCCATGGAAATTTGCATTCAGTACCTCGCAGATTTCCTTGTCGCTTTCTGTATATGCCCCTTCTGTTTTCCTCAGTCTTGTCACTTGGTCATTTACCGACATCTTCCTTCTTATATGGCTATGTAGTAATTTAGGTTGCTTTTTCGCTTTGACTGCAATATCATTCTCATAATTTCTTTCCGACACTCGTCTTATGTTAATGTAATCATTCCTAGCTCTGTTACATCTTATCCTGTTGTCCTCTGTCCTTCGTCTTCTGTACTTCCTCCACTCCCTCCTGCTTCTCACCTTTGCTTCCTGACACTGTCTATATAGCATATGTAGCATGGGTTATTATATTCCCTCCTGCTTTTTTCCTTTATTGTTGGAATAAATCTCTCTTCAGCCTCCTTGCATTTCAATATGATTTGGTTCATCATACCTTACACTGTTTTTCCTCTAAGTTCTTCCTCCCACTGCACTTCTCCCAGGTAGTCCCTTATCCTTCTGTAGTCCCCTTTTCTGTAATCAAGTCTCCTTTCCCGGACCTCTTGTCCTTTGGTCACAATTTTAAGTTCCATCATGTAGTCAAAGACTAGGACACAGTGGTCACTGGCTCCTAGTGGTATTTCATGTTCCAACTGCTCGATGTCTTCTACATTCTGGATGAAAATGAGATCTAATAGGCTGGGCGTATCCCCTCCTCTTTCCCTAGTATCTTCCTTCACATGCTGTGTTAGGAAATTCCTGTCAATAACGTCTACCAGCTTCACTCCCCAGGTCTCCTCCCCGCCATGGGGATTCCTCGTTTCCCAATCTATCTCTCCGTGATTTAGGTCCCCCATGACCAGCAGCTTCGCTCTCATTCTATGCGCTATAGTTGCTGCCCTCTGCAGTTCATCTATACATGTCTTGTTGCTGTCCTCGTACTCCTGCCTGGGCCTTCTACTGTTTGGTGGGAGATTGTAGAGTATCAAGATTACAATCTTCTTCCCATCCACTGTCAGAGTTCCATGTATGAAGCTCGTGCTTTCATTGGTACCCGGCTTTTCCAGCTCATCAAACTTCCATTTCCGCTTTATTAGGAGTGCCACTCCTCCTCCCTGTCTCTGTGTCCTTTCTTTTCTTATCACCTGGTACCCCTCTGGAAAGATTGCATCCGAGATCATGCCATTTATTTTAGTTTCCACTATTGCCACTATGTCTGGATCTGCCTCACTAACTCTTTCTTTTATCTCTTCTGCTTTATTGGCTACCCCATCAGCACTGGTGTACCAAACCTTGAGACTCTTCTTAGAAACTCGGGTGTCAGAGTTCCCCCTTTCACCGGGGGTCTGGGGGGGACTGTCTGGGGGGCGAGTGGGGGCTGTGGGGGTGAATGGGGGGGTGCTAGGGGGTGCCTGGGAGTGCCTTGTAGGCGAATGGGGTCTGGGCATCTAGGGGGGTAGGAAGGGCATAATGGGTCTGAAAGTTAGGGGTCTGAATAGCATAGGGGGGTTGAGAAATAGTGAGACTGAGAGTCAGATAGAGGTTGGAGGGGAGAGGGATATTGAGGGCAGAGGGCTGAGAGGAGAATGGAGCATGGGTGCTGGGAGTGGAAGTGAGGGTATATTAGTTAGGGGGGAATCGGGGGTAGGTGGGGGTTTTGGGGTAGAAGAGGGGAAGAGGGAGATGGGGGAAGGTGTTAGGGGGTCACAAGGTGAGGGGGTTAAATGTGGGCTGGAGGTGCATAGGAGGGGTGAGGGTTGGGTGGGGTTTGGGGGTGAGTGTAAGAGGGGT